TGTCGCTAATTTTTCAATTCGAAAATGCGTTACATTCGATCGATTCGTTCGCTTTTTGCGAGCATCTTTCGATCCGTCAGTCGAGCGGAATGGCGCGCACAAAAGAAAGAACGGGGGTGGCGCTCGACTTAAAATAACTGAAAGTGACAGATAAACAAATGAGAGCCGATATCCGGGGCTCCGCGGATATTCCCTATTTGAGATATTGCTCGGGCGGGCGCGGCGCACTTTTCAATAACGTCTAATGGAAAACGAAAATGATCCGCGGCCTTTTCCCTTGCTTTTGTTCTCGCTTGTCAATTTCGTCTCTTCGACACAGCCTCCGGCCGGCTTCGCTCTCCTATATAGTACCGCATAGAAAAATCTTTTGTATCTACTCCCCCCCCGTACAATAAATTATACAACAATTTTCATTATTACCAGAGGGTTAGGCCAGTTAATAATAACCCCGCTGGAGTTATATCGATTCCGTACCTTCAAAGTATTATCCGCCGTTCGAAATGCCAATAATCTCGGCCGACCTCACCCTCCTCGTCGCCGCCCGGCCGGGGGCGGCCCCCAAGTATTCACGTCCGGTGTCCAGAACAAACAATTGATGCCGCAATTGTGAAACGTCACACGGTACGGCAGTGATAAAGAAGCCAGCCCAGATAAGTTCGCGGTAGCGGTCAGTTTGGAAATGCACGGTGCAGAACTAAAGTTAGACGCGATTGTTTCGTTTGTTACAAGTATCTGAAGCATGGATGAACAATGGGCCATTGAAACAAGGCGCGGCGGCGGCGGCGGAGGCGGCGGAGGCGGCGGCGGCCGGCACACACTCGCACACGTATATACGGCCAGCAGTGGACCTTAGAAAATTGAAATGCTTACTCTCTAAAAGGCGGCTGATACGACGTTTCGACTCCGATACACGAACGTGTAAATGGCGCTGAGCTTGTTATATCGACTTACCTTGTCCGTTCTGGCGCGATTGTTCCTGTTCTCAATGTCGATATGAAGATATACGCGCGCATATGTGAATTCTATGCGCTTTATTCTGATTAATTTCGCTATATTTTCGTTATTTGGAAGTCGGAAATGTTTCCATTTGAAAAGATAGTTCACTAAATAATAGCGCAGCAATATTGTGCCTAACTTAAAGTTGAGTAGATAAATAAATACAGGGTGTTAATTAATTGAGTGCCGATACTTCAGGATGTGAATGTTTGGATGATTTTAAGAAGAAAAGTTTATATTAATATATCTCCTAAACCTCTTAGTTTTTGAGCTACAGGGTGTTACAGTTTTAGATACTCCAGATATTTTTATGACATTTTGTACACACTTTTTAAGTATTAAGAAACATTTTTTGAGGCAAAAGAGTTTTTTTTAATGTTTACCAGTGCTCATGACTTCCGTACGGGGTTTGAACTGAATAAGTTTGAAGAAAAAAAGGTACGCAACTGATTTTTCTAAAAACCAAAAATATTTTTAATATCCTCATTTATTTTGGATCAAATTCGGTCTGAAGACTTACTTTGGTACGACGCACCATTTTCGCATAAAAAATAAAAACCAATACAATTTTTTCCAAGTTCATTGAGACTGCTTTTGATATATCGTTGAAATTTGGTAAATTTAATAAACATATCGGGAGTAATAAGAAAATTATGATAGAAGTTATTTTTTTAAACTGTGTTATTAATCTGTAGCTCGAAAATTAAGAGGTTTAGGACATATATGGTAATCAAATTTTTTTCTTAAAATCATCCAAATATTCACATCCTGAAGTATCGGCACTCAATTAATTAAAAAAAAATGTTGTGAAATCAGTGCTCTATATAGAAAATTATATTCCCTGTTTTTGTAAACATAGACTCAATTACTCCAAATTATACCCCAAATTTACAACAATTTTAGCCAATTTCTAATAAAATTCTCAACATATTTTCCCGATTTACGAACCTTTTTAAAAGCGACTCGCATCATTATCATCCACCCTCTCGCACAACAATCCTCTTATATTTACCCCAAGGTGAAAAAACCCCGTCCGTTTGTTAAACATATAACCCCGCGAAATGGAGAGGCGTCTGTTGTTTTCCCGTTTCAGCCCGTTTGATATCTTTATCGGGCCACTCGGATGTTCAATCGGGCCGAGCGTAGGAACGGTTTCCGCGTTTTCGGAAACGAAAAGGAAACGTCTCAATTTGGCCCCGGCAACTTGCCCGACGATTTATACATATAAATAAAGGCCGGGGGTTGGAAGGGGGCCCTGCGTCGTGCGTCCGAAAATCGCCCGGGGACCTAATTAATAGACGCACTCCCTGCGCGCATCGACGTGGCTCATTGAGAATGACGGATGCTCCCATAGAGTGCCGGGATAATGTTTGTTTTAAAACTATAAATGTTTAGGCGTTCCGCGACGATTTATCATCGGTTTATTTCGCGAATTTTTGCCAATCAGTTACCGGGAATAAACTTCTCCTCGTATAAAATTCCCATAAATTTCGGGATTACCTATTGACAGGCCGTACAGAACTCCGCTTGATCCCATAAAATATCCAGTTGACAGTAAGGGAGAAGAAGAATGCTCAATATTTTATAAGGATTTTATAGTCTTAAGACCTTATTTGTATTTGAAACCTGTAGTAAAGAAGTAAGGGAGGATTATTATTATTTTTTCCCAATATCTTAATACCCCAATAGTTATATCTAAATAAAATTTATATGTATACCTACTAAATATTTTTAATTTTTTTTATTAAAAAAATTGAACCGAATCCTATAAAGCACCCCTTCAAATTTATCCAAAATACATTCGCAGTGACATATTGCTCTGTCGTAAAAAAGGAATCCCTCGGTTTCGATACCGCGAAAAGGGCCATCCCTTTATCCTTATTTTTCTGGTTTTTTTATTCGACCACTTGACTAGTAGATTTAGAGGGGTTACTTGAGGTTTCCGGAGTGCGAGTCCGGACCGCCCGAAAGGGCTCAAAGGCCGATGTTTAAGGGGGAACCCTTCGATTTCTGGAATCGTTCGAGTAAATTCTCTGGCTACTGAACGAGGGTTGTTTATTGTTTCGCGGAAGTTCCGCCGAAAAGGATTTATTCCGGCGTGGTGGAAGGCGACGATCGGTTTTTATGTTTTTCTCATTGTACATGTAAAATTAACGTGGGCTGTAGTGTGCAGCCCACTCGCATGATGGGGGTATATCGTAAAAAAAATTAATAACTGATGAACGCTATTTACCGTCAATAAATCGCTATTTATTAGTGACAAATACCAACGTCTGGTTAGTAGACAATATTACATTACTTATCGTGGCACCGACTAATGGTACCCCATTGTACCGGCTACTGTATTTCGACTTGGGCGGCTGCCCCCCCGCTAACAGCGATCCCGACTGCATTTTTAATATTGTCATTACACCGAAACCCTTTCCGTCGTGCATACGCGCTCATTTCGGTACGGTATTCTTTTATTTTCCCGACGAGACTGTATATTCTGTGGGTGCGGCGATTCGATTTGATCAGTCCGGTGTATCAGATTCTCCAACTTTGATAAATTCGCTGCGATGAATCATTTATGAAAAATTTTATAGAATCTCCAAATAGATCGAATGGACGAGCATTAACTACAGCTTACAGATTTTCGTGTCAATTTTAAGTGTAATAGTTCCTAATCCGACTCTGTTGGTGACTAATCGTTTTTTTATTAATTAAAATTCGTAGTAAGTGCGGAAGGTATAGGCGAAAAGGATTTGGAAAATCGTCCGCGTTACGGTTTACCTGAAGCGCTCGGTGGAGCCGTCAGCTGTCAAATAATAACATTGTAAAACAAACTCTTTACGCCAAAGTCAACGCATTTAGCATGCCATTATCTATAATAACAGTGGAAAATCACGCGGGCACCAACTTTGCAAATTGCTAAATTGACGATATTTGATAGTACGGCTCCGGCCGCAGGAGCTGGAAGGCTCTATTCCAGGACCGAAGTCGAACAATAAACCCCCCATTGAATTTCGCCTTGAAAATTTGAATTATCTCGAGATGAATAATCAATGGAAATTTGTTAGAAATGCATCATGTAGCATTCTAGCAATACTGTAAAAATCCACCTAAATAAATTTACCTATATTTAAATTACAGTTAAATAATTAATAAATAAAGTATTGGTTTTATTGATGTTCTAACAATCTGTAGCATGTAGAATCTGTTGGGAGTCCCTCTCTGATTGCTGGAGTACAGGTCCTACCTTGCTGCATAATCTTAATACAGTTTCGCAAGTTTCATAATTAGTGTTCTTAAGCCCGCCTTAGACAAACATATAGAACAGATTTATTTTAACCTGTATATGCGGTAACTTCTGTCGCATAATCATCAATTTCCACCCTCGCCTACAATAGGTATGACTTTAAAAATTATTTCCCAGCTTATACTTAATTATCACCCTTTTATAGATTCACTTAAATTAAATATAACACTTATTAGCTAATTAATTTTATTATATCCAAAAAAAATTCGATTTGTTTAGTATTTTTTAAACGCGCGTTTCGTTGTAGACCTCCCGACTCCCTCTCGTAAATTCCATAACTATAAATCTCGGTGGGCGAGCGAAATATTGTTGACTTTCGTTAAGTTAAGGTTACGGAGCGGGTCGTCGCAGATAAAGGGTTAAAGAGAGGGTTATAAGCCGCGCAGCAGGACCGAATTGCGGATGCACAAACATTGAACGTCTTGTAAAAATCCCGATATTAAATCAGGTATGCAAACAGATTACCTATTCGGAATTATCTCGGAAACTTCGTCAGGAACGCTTATAACAACGAATGTTAGCAGGAATATTAGCAGTAGGCGGAGAGAGGGTGGTTTTGCAATGGCGTATCAATTGTTTGGTCGACGAGGTTTTAGTTAAAAACTATAAAAAAATAAATATATTTGTTGTGGGATTTTTGAACATACAGTACATGTATTGTTGCGGTAATGCTGTCATCATGTGTCATCGATTTAAGTATACAATACATACGTGTAACTCAAAAGAGAATAATAAAAATTTGAAAGATAATTAAAATTTGACAACAATCATTAAATATCAAGAGATTTTAGGCTGCAATTTAAAAAGATAAGAAAATCCCGAAGAAAACCAGTCCCTAGTACAGGTTTGAAAATAATATTACAAACTTAGAAATAACAGATATATTTCATACAAAGTAATGAGCAATAATAATTGTTGCAGTCCGAACGCTGATTGTTGCGTTCCCAAACTTTGTTGCACACAAGTCAATCCCCTCGATTCCTTCAATTGCTTAATCTCCATAATATTTTGGGTGATATACATTCTTTCGCATGCTACCGCCGGTTTGTACGCCTACCTTCACTTTTCGGGCAACTGCGACGACTTCACCGTGTCCTCGGTCATTTTGGCGGCGGCATCCGCCGTCTTCGCCATAGCCTCGAACCTGAACCTGCTGAAAATCATGCTGTCCTGCCACCCTCAAGGGTGTTTCAACTTGGTATACACCTCTTTTGTGTACATTATGCTGGGCGCTATAGCGCTGGTATCCGGCGTCATGGAGGTAATGACTCGCAAAGAATACTTGCACAAGATTGCATATCAATTAGGCATTGTGTCGGGGTCGCTGGGAATCGTCGTCAGCCTGATCACCAAGCTGCTCTTTTGGTACTGTTGTGGTGTAAGTATTCGAGGTGTCTCTTTTCTTGGAGAAGTTGTGTCTAATGTTATTTTTTTTCTATCTTTACAGCCTGATACAACTCCCATTCCTTGCTGTTGTCCTCAACAATCTTGTTAGAATAATTCGTGATGAGACAATTACGTTTTGATTGTTATTTTTATTACTTGTCTATTTATATGTTAATGTCAAAAATACCTATAAATAAGCTACAATTATTTATTATAAGGTTATAGACTTAAATGATGAGGTCGATACATCGGTACTGGGAGTCAAACCGTTCGAAAGCGCATAAAATTTATCGAAATAATTGTATGGGAGATATTCGAGATATTCAAATGAAGTATTGTAAATACGAAAGTGGATATGCACGAACCGTATTTAATAAAATATTAATTTATTTATTGCATTATAAGAACAATAGATCGATTTTATTAGATCGAAATCGAAACGGAAAAAAGAAAAGGGGCGATTTGCATACAACGTGGCATCTGAATTGCTCCTTCGTTGTGATGTTCATAAATTTCGTTCGGTGATTTATGCAATTTCGTTCTTCTACCGAAGCTCCGGAGGTACTTTGTTAATATATTTATATTGGTTCTTTGTTTTTCGTTTAATTAAATTAGAAAATATCCGTTTATTTATTTACCAAGTGCGTATATTGAAGATCATAAAACATTATGGCAATGATTAATATCTCTAAAGAAATATGTGCCGACCAGAAAAGGCATCGAGGTAAGTTTATGTACGAGTTGACCGTATATTTACTGATAAAGATCGTTGCAGTTCCATGTGCATATATAATTATACATAATTTTACGATTATTTCTCCATAGATGTGTTGTATGCTAACAGATTTTGCTATTTTTGGGTTACCGTAATTGTTTGAATAAACACACTTAAATCTGACCTAAACCTATAAAAATAGTTGAAAAAATTACCGGTGAAGGAACTCATTTCTATTCTAACGCGCTTCATGAAAAGTTTCTGTTATTATGGAATCCAATATAATAAAGTATCCAATATCTTAAAGTAGGAAAATTTTGAACGTAAAAGAAGAAAATCATAACTTGCCTATGTTACTCTATCCAGCAAAATTTTGGGTAATTGAGCTATTTGTTCCATAACATGCACCTCTGCGTTGATAAAGCGAGAAACACCGCCCCATTTCGGTTGCCTAATTAATATTGATTTGACATCTAAAGAACGAGAAAAAAAGCAGCAACGAATAAATAATAGAAGTGTTAAGGGCCAATTTATGAAGACGTTGCTTTAATTGAAGTATCTGGAAATTAAGAAAAAGTCAGGCGTGCCAACCGAACGTCACTACAAGAAAAAAAAGTAATTAACTCTGGTGAATAATTAACGAAGATAAAGAGAGTCGACGTCTTATTAGAAATCGAGCGGGAAACGGGGCGTCCGACCGAAAAAAAAGGGGGTTCGATTGTTGTTTTCCGGGCGGAATATATTTTCCTCGCCGAAGAAGGAATTCCTCCGACCTCCGGTGTCCGATTTTCGGGCGTTCGTTTCCACATTAGTTTCAGCGAACTGTGATTTCGAATTCATATTAAGGGCTTAGGTCGGGTTCGTTTTGAATATTTTATCGTTTTATGGGAGACTGGAGATCATCGTCGTCCGGATTTGATTGCCTTCGTTTTAATTGTGTTTCTGATTACGCCTTTTAATGCGAAATCTGATGCTCCCCGTAAAATCGGGATATATCGAGGCGCGGCTGGTGTAATATCTTTAACCCGAATTTTCAGGTCCTCGCTCGCTCTTGGTTAGGAGTAAAATAAATCGAAAGGGCGAGAAAATTCGATGGGAATCACGTTACAGGTGCGGATTATACGAGAGGACTTTCCGGTGCGTTACAAATAATACATCCAAATCAAGCTTTAATATTTCAGATTATGATAATAAATCCTTAAAAAGAATATTAAATTCGACTCGATTCTCGTCTGATTGATCGAACAACCTTTTGTCTCCTTTTAATAAACGACACGTGTAACGCGAGTCGCGTAATTTGAAATTTAAATTTCCACTTCGACGATTTAAGCCTAACCATACGGCCCATTATGACTCGGACGCTTATTTATTTATTGCCTATTATAAATTTCAGAACGCCTTTGATGCTTCGATTCGAAAATCCCGGTGGATAATCGACGGAAAAAAAACACGAGCAAACGCCATCAAAAGCTTCAATAGAAACAAAGTCTGTATCTCGCGCTCCGATCGCAAAGACATTTTTAATTTATTCACGGACAGCTAAACCCTTCCCTCACTTCCTACGCCTCAGCGGCGTACGAACCATTTTTTTTGTAATAATTAACCACAAATAGATTTACTAAATTTTTTCACTCACACTTAATAAGAATAGAGAGTAGTGTACCCGATCATGTTTTGAACTTTTTAACTAATCATTGCAAGACGTTATTATCAGGTTAGGTTGAGCGTTGTATATGCAAATTTTCGAAAACTATCTAATTTAAAATTTGCGTAGCTATACGAGGGTGGGTAAATATATATTTTTATAGTTTCCGGCGTGACCTGCTTCGGTTGGGTCCCCCGGGGTGGCCCCAATGGTGATATACCGCATCGCCAATGATTCATTGATGACTTAATTTAGGCGTCGCTATGACGACGTCTTGCGTCTTCATCGCGAACGGGCATCGACGCCTGGCGTCGTCTTTTTCTGGCCGAGCCGAAACGACGTTCCGATGAATATTCACAAGTTATTAAAACCGGGACACGTTCACGTTCTCCCGCGCCTCATTCGCAGTCGGACGCGTAGCCGGGAGACTTAAGGTCAAAAAACCGATTCCTTTTCTTTCGCCGAATATTTCGGACGTCGCGAATTAATAATTCCGCGCCGGCCGAACGGGCATAATTAATTTCAATTAATTCGTAATTAAGCGAGTCGTTGGCCTTTTCGGATTTCTCGGGATGCGCCGGGGTTGCCGGCGACTCATCAATCAAACAATAAACGAAAATTGAAGCAATCAATAGGAGACATTTATGGGGATTATAAATCTAATGGCAAATAGAAAACAGTGTATCTTGTACACAAAGTATAAGAGACGGCTGATTGCAAATAATCCCCAAAGAGAGTCGGGAAATTATGAGATTAAAAGAGTCCTCCTATGTGAGAGCCTTTCAAGAAGCGAATCCGCAGTGCCGGGGAAATTTAAATTTTCCACAGCCATCACCTTATATTATTAGTACCAAAAATCATAAATGTGCAATAAATAATTACTCAACGATAAGAGTAATTTCAAATAAAATTTTAAAATCTCAATACAATTTCATATTAAAGTGGCTCAAATAATTTAATAGGACCATTTTTTTTCGATACGCCCGTGCCCGTCGCAGGGACCCTTTTGACTTGAAGATTAACCGTTATTTATAGGGTCATTTTTGATTGGGAAGCTTCATCTTCGTCTTGTATAGGCAATCAGCGATCACTCGACTATGTAGTAATTTTCAATTAAGAGCGCTCCCGTTCGAGTTAGATGCAATTTCGCCGCCGATTCGGGATGCGTACAAAAATCCGGACAGTGTAACGAGGTCGAATTAAAATTTATCTAAATGTCGACGGTATCGAAGCGCCGGAACGGTCGCGTCTTATTTAAATTACGCCCCGGATATATCGAATTATTGCGGGGCTGGCAGTTCCCCGTTCAACTATTAAAAATTCCAATATCAATTTTCGTCCGAGAAATTTTCGATTAACGACGATGGCGTAAGTAGATCGCTAATCGTTTTTAAACTTTTCTTTTAAGGAGGAAAAACTGCGGAGGGTGAATTTTTATGCGAGACGCATCGCATTTGCCTAAAGAACCATGTAATTGATACAAGGGGTATCGGCGTCATTTTAATTTCAAATAACGAAGGATTATCCTACCGGATACCCAACGAGTTTTATTAATATTAATTCCATCTTTTCGATCGATCCGGTTGCGCTTTTCGAAAACACCTATATACCCGACTAACCATTATACCTGCCTCTGAAATAAAGTTTTAACTGCTTATTCGTTTCGTTCATTGTCTGATTCAGATTACAATGTTATTTTTTTTTTCTCCTAATTATCCCGGATTATTACCGAAGTTCATCCGACCAATTACGTTTAATTTATGTCGACGTACCGACACTAAACTATTTTATTCCTCGGCTCAATTTTCCAAACTGATGGTTAAATATCGGCAGACACGAAACGTCGGATTCTAATAGTTGCTCGCATATTAATCAAAATACGGGAAATTGTAAATTATTAATTGCCAGTCGAATAACGAAAAGCGCCCAAGAAATTACTGATAGAATCGTCCAATTTAAACTAATTTATATTTTTAAGAGTAAATACGTTTATATTTTTAATTTCTCCGTATATTCAATAAATTTATTTATCATAAACAACCTAGCAAACTTCCCTTTAAACATCCCCCATCCGGCATTACAAAGAGCTTACTTCGATAGAAATATCGGCGAGGGTGTTTTAACAAGATAATTTCCAATATAAGGGAAACTCCACTGAAACCGGCTATACTTTAATCTACTTTAATAACAATTTAATCAGTAATTATTGGATTTATAATTAGCACTTCGGTTTACACCTTTAATATACAACGGAATCCCGTTAATACTTTGCTAGAACAAAAGTAAATCTCGCTCCGGTCCCCCCGCCAACGCCCTCTTTAAATTAATTTATTGGGAAAAGCGAGCGATGACGGAAGAGAGTTTAATGTAATACCGGGTCGGTTCGATAATTAACCGGAATCTGATTATGTAGCGGTATTTTTTTAGCGTATACGCGTAGACTATTAATCGCATCGAAATACATAACCATTACCGTAGGAATCGCATAAATTACAATATCCAAGGAAGCCGTTGGACATATTCAGGCAATGCATGCATGTCGGTCCGTGTATACGGCATCGGCACATATCAATAGCCATTATGCCATCAGTTCCGCGTCGAGTTGTAAATCAATTCAGTGCAATTGGAGATGTAATTGTACAATAACATATGACAGCTTCAGTTGTATCTGTATCTATATCAATATCAATATCTGCGGCGCAACGGTCTAATTCGAACTGATGTAAGCCAGATATGGGTTTGGGGAAATTACGCACGATTGAACATTGTCGTGTATTGATGGATGATTTGTTAGAAA